AAGACTTTCAGTTTGCACGCGCGCCCATCAGGCTAGGGCTTAGCAGCCACTCCGAACTTGCATTGCAGAAGTTGACATGCAACCTGCCACCAAGAGCAGCGGACACAGACAGATTCACTTGACTTTTCCATGTGCGTTTCATTTTGAAGATGCTGCAAGTTGACTGACACACAGCGAAGCCATGCAAGCCATGCAACTGTGTCAGAAACTTAGCATTCCTCAGTGTGTTGGCCTACCACTCTTTTTGATATAAACATACCCCAACCATGCTTCCCAGGTCATGTCCGGCTGTCCATGGGTGACCAGCTATGCGTGATTCCAGTATACGCACTTCAGGTTGGCACACAACTGCAGAAGCAATGGAGCGTCCCACATGTCCTAGAATGTCTTTATCCTGGCATTGAACGTCATAGGCGCAAGCAGAAGTTTAACGCCGCGTGGCCGGACATACAAGACATTCATAGAAAGCTCTGGCCAGGCATCCCACCGCCGGATCTCAGGACACTCGACCCTGAGGAGGACGGAGCTTTCACAAACATGATGAGTACATCAATGTTTGTGGCCACACTGATGTGGGGATGGATGGCGTCTAAGCGAAGCCTTGCATCCCGCCATCTCGCAGGAAAGATGTTTCAAGCAGTCGTGCAGTTGGTGTGTTTGCGTGGGGACGGTGTGCCACTTGAGTTTCTGAAGCTGGAGTCTGATGGGCATGGGGTGCTAGAGAAAGCGACCATAGGAGAAGACACTGTCATTGCGTGCTGGTCAGAAAGCATGTCTGAAGCAGTTGCGCTCGCATGGGACAGAGCAGTCCTCGATCACCAACGGCCCTTTCCAAGCAGCTCACGTGAACACACATGTTTGTACGACTTCATTCTGTGGTCATTGGAGCCCATCCCCATCAACAACAAGGACACCAAGCTGAAGGCTTTGAAGTCTTTTCTTTCCGTCCCTGCCATGACGCTGGTGACCCATGTAGCAAAGTTTCTCGATGATGTATACCTTCCATGGGCTATGAGTCAGGTTGCAGACCCCGGTGATGACGATGATGATCAAGGGCCTTTTTCTATTCATTCAACAGGTGGCACGAAGCGACGTCGCACAGGCACATTGACCACCAACGTTGTGCGTGCCAAAGCGGCTGACCGTTTGTTCCGGGGCAAGGTACCCTGACAAAATATCTTTTTTGATGTTGCAGGTTTCTGCTGCCAAGTGATGCCCGCACATGGAATGACAGCGTGCTGAGGACAGGTGGGCAAGCAAGGCTCTCACCGAGGTGTCCAAGACGGTGCATGTCCGTGTGGGCCAGCTTGCTCATAAGATTTGCGCTGCATGGCCCAATCGTATATGTTGAAGACTAGACGGGATGAAGGTGCTCCTGCCCTTTGAGAAAACTCTGAGGTTGCTCATGTTCTCCGTGCACGAACGGAACTTGAAGGCTGCAAGCACTTCTCTGTACCCACCTGAGTCAGTGACCCCTTGCAGTGCACAACAAGCACCACATGGACTATCAATGTCTCATGCGTCCAGGTCTACATCGACGGCTCCGACATTGCTGAAGCACCGACCGAAGTGGTGTTTCTTTGGTCTCATGAACTTGCTGCTGGAGCATATGGTCCCCCAGTAGCCATGTCCTCAGATGGATTCCCGCATCAGAGAGTCAGTCTTCAAGCAAGTGAAACAGCTGCTTTGCATGAATGAAAGTAGGGGAGTTAGATCTTATTTGGGCTCTCCCTGATGTTTGCATAACCAGCCCTGGGCCCAAGAGCGTTTGTAGGGCAAGGGCTATGTGGTACCTGTAGCGCCTGCCATGCGGGCGCTGCTGCAGTCTTTCTCTAGCCCTCGACAGGGTAGACATTCGACAGAGACTGAGACTGAACTCTCCCGAAGCACCACAACAAGCGACTCGGAGCAGACATCGACATCATTCAGTGCACCATTCCAGGCTCCTGGATACACTGAGCCCGTGATTGCTTAAACACGCCCTCTCCGACTGATATAACCTTGCATCCCTGCCAGGTGCCCGTTGCTGAGCCACGACTGGTGACAGCCTCCAGGGCGATCCAGATGACCTGGGAATTGCTGCACAACAAGGTCTTGCCACAGTGGTGCGTGCAGGCCCGCTGTCCATTGACACATTGAAGCCCGCATTTGTAGCCTGGCCACAAGCTACTGCCGCAGGCATGCTGGTTGGCACGGCCGTGGAGAATGTCAAGCTCCTGCACAGGAGCATACACGGCAGAGATGGCAGCAGCAGTGCTGACCAAGACCGTCAACGACTCCAACTACCTCGACAAGCCATGCTGTTTCAAGTCTGTCAGCTGCCATGTCCTTCTGCTGCACATGGCCACTGCGTGCAACATAATATAGTTTGCTTGTGCAGCCCATGATGCAATTCTTGTGCCTGATGACAGGAGCTCGATCCCCATTGCAGACAGCTGGTGACTGATCACCACAAGTGGATTGGTACATTCTTGCCGGAGACAGGCAGCCTACCCTGCATATTTCCCGACGTTTTGCAACAGCTGCCACCAGAGCCACTGCTTTTCCTACCGGGTACCTTTAATGAGAAACGATCTAGGGTGGAACGCTGCACATTGGCACCTCGTCAGGCATGCTGCACCCATGCTTCCTTCTGTCCTAGCAACCTCAGAACGGATGTGGACGTATCTGGGCTTCCCTGCCCAGATAACAGCAAGGCCAACCACAAGAGAAAATTCGAGCAGGGGGACAGCGGGCTGATTTACATCACTTGGGCGAGGGCCCATCGTGATAGGAGGACACCCCTTCTAATCCTCGAAAACGTCCCAGAGCCCTGCTTGCACCAAGGGTGTAGGAGTCGGGGCAACCATAAACCTGTAGCAGTCCCGTCCTTCTGTCTCCCAAGGATCTGAAGATCGACGTCGTGCGAGAGCTGCTCGAGGACGATTACCTGGTGATCCAGCTATTCGTAGAGCCTAGTGATGTGGGCCATCATGGCATTCAGAGAAAGAGAACGTTTATCTATTGCTCACACCATGTCACAGGGCGCTACCTCTTTGATATTCATGAGGCATACAACTACATAAAAGAGAGTCTCAGCACGCACATCCGCACACGCCCCCGGGACTACTTGGTTGCAACCGACTTTGAGATCAGACTGGCTGCTCAGCAAGCAGCAAGTGATCGAGGCGTTGCATACCGCCACGCTGCTTGCCTTAGAGAAGGGTTTGGGAGAGACGTGCTTGGGGCTGTGAGCTTCGGGTCTGGGTAGTACATGTGCTTTGCTTGGCTCTTGAATACCCAAGGGGATCACCGACTTGACCTATCTTCTGAGTGACTTCGAAAAAGAGCAAGTGGCAGCCCTCAGCGAGCAATACAAGAGACGATGGGGCGTTGATCCATGCCAGGATGCCGACCTCGTGTTTTTCCTCGGTGATCGTGCAACGTACTCACGTGTCTGGAGTGCTGTGAGTGGCAAGCTACCCACTTACCGGCGCAACCCTGGCAAGTATTGGTTTCCACATGCAGGGCGTTGGCTGCTTCCAGTTGACAAACTTGCATCCATGGGCCTTCCAGTGACGGAAGCTACAGCACACATGATGGGGGTGCCGGTTCTACCAGTACTCGACCCAAAACGAGCAAGCAGCATCCAGGGAAATGCTATGCATTTCAGCAACCTAGCAGTCGTCTTGCTGCTGGGGTTGACATGCTTCGGCCCGAATAACGAAGAGCCTAGCATCGACTGGGCAGCTCTTGCCCGGGCTGGCTACTAGATGCCACCGTGCACTTGTGACAGTACAGACTTTTCAAGCAATGCAGCAAACAGCAAACCCGCCAGCATTGCCCGACGTGTGTGAGTGTGTGCAACGATACAAGAAAAAAGTGTTCACTCATGTGCGCTCACCTAGCATGTTGAAGTTGTTGCAGCCTTCTCCTGCTATCCTGTGCATTGAGGGTCCACATCATGCAGCGACTCTCTGTTTGCCAGCGGCTGTACCTCTCTTGATTTGCAGTCAGTCTAGGCTGGTCTGTCTGTGCTGCGTGGTCCGTGGGGTCGATGGCAGCTGGTAAAGCAGCACCCGCAAAGGGAAAGGCTCCGGCTAAGGCCCCGCCGGCCCCGCCCCTTCCCAAGGTGAAGGCTAAGGCAGTGACAGTGGTCACGACAGCCGCTCCCAAGAGTGTGGCTAAAGCCAAGGTGGCAATGAAAGCGGCTGCGCCAGCTCTGTCTGTGCCAACCCCGAAGACTGTGGCTAAAGCAGCCTCGCTCCCTCCAGCACCACCCCCAAAGACCAAAGCTAGTGCTGCCTTCCTGGACTTTGATCCCACGAACGTTCCCCCGTCACCGCGTGGAACTGCTGCACCTCCTGCTGCTCCTGCGGCCAAGGAGCCAGCTCCATTGATGTGGGGCGATGGCTTCGTAGTTGGCGCTGTCCCCGCAGGCCGCGGCAGTGCCAGTGTCAACCCGAAGGCAAAGAGTGCGCCTGGGAGTCGACGGCGCACTGTCGAAAGATACTCGTCGAGTTACCACAATCTCAGCTACCTCAGTGAGCCTCGTGTGCAATTAAAGATGCAGCTAATCACGACCAATGAAGTGCTATCACTCCTGTTTTTGCATATGAACCCAGGACTCCCACNNCCACTTGGACAGTGCAGCGTGCACAGCAGTCATGCTCCAGGCGTGTTCCCGTGAACAGCTGTTTTGCCTGCTTTACTTGGCGACGGGCCTTAGTCCTACGTCAAGGTTGCCCTCGTTGCTTGGATGGAACCCAGGGCCTGCTACTTCCATGCATGTGTCCCTTGCATTTAGGATGCCATGTTGGATGTTGGCTAAGGTTCGAGAAAACTGCCTGTCTCGAAGCCCTGGTTGCGGAGTATAACCGTCTTGGGCGGCCGCTGTCCAAGTTAAGGTATAACGGAGCTCAGGCACGTGACCATGTGCATCGTCTGATGTCACGTGACCTCGCATCGGCTGCCGTGCCAGCTGCGCCTGCGGGGGCGATCGATGAAGGAGTTCCCGGGGGAGAGCCGGCAGAGGAGGAGGAGGATGATGGTGGTGAGAACGAAGAGCAAGCCCCCTTGGTTTGGACGAGCTTTCAAGGTGATGGTCAGTGGCTGATCTTTATGTCGGATCCCGATGGAGGTCCCGACCGCTCAGCTCCATTGCCAAGCCTTTCCTCGAACGGGGATGGGTACTGGTCCGTGGTGGACATCGAAGGCGAGCTCATGGCGTTCCAAGGTGGCTCAACTGACCCGATCCCCGTCTACACCCTCATCAGCACCTCGTCCAGCGCCAACGCGTTGGCCGGCCAGAGCAGTGGCCCGAGCCTGTTGGACGGGATGCGGCTGCCAGCGGATGATGATGATGACACTAGCTATGATTCCATGCAATGCTCGTGTGTGTGTGTGTGCAGCATGTAGCGTGTGATTCGGAATGATCATGATCTGCGTGTGATCTAAGGATACTCCATCCGAAGCCGAGGAAACGTATCCCTTCATCAACATGATTGATGGCCAGCCCCATCTTCATACCGAGCATGCGGTGATTCCATTGGACCCAGGCTTTGAGTGGGAGCTGTTGCAAGCCCCGAACGGCGAGTACTTTATCGACACCAAGGACAAGAATCCTTCGAAGAAGCCAAGGTACGTCCATCACTTGGAGCGCAAGCATCTTGCGAAGAACCTTGGCTTCAGGTGAGTTAGTTTTGGTTCTGGGCCGTGGCTGTGGGTCCAATGCTCCAGGGTGCGGTTTTAATCTGGGGTTTTTCATCTGGGGTTCCACCCTTATGTTAACAATCAGGGGGTCTACCTTAGCGTCCTTGAAGAGGCCCAGGATGCCCGAGGCCTTAGTACTTAGGCCCTAGACTAACTAGGCTTAGCATCGGGGCTTAGGGCTAAGGTTGGATTAGGCTGTGGGGGATCGGGGCTTAGGGCTAGAGTTTGGGGGTTTAGGTTTGGTTTAGGCTTTGG